GACCCATCCGAGCCCTCCGACCCTTCCGACGTCCGACCCCTCCGACCCCTCCGACCCCTCCGAGCCCCCCGACCCCGGCTCGGCAGCTAGCCTTCGACCCCTCCGAGCACTCCATCCGAGGGCTTGGAGGGCTCGGAGGGCTCGGAGGGGTCGAGCTTCCGATCCGTCCAGTCCGATCCCTAGGACTCCTGGAACCCTCCAGCCCTCCGAGCCCTCCGAGCCCTCCGAGCCCTCCGAGCCCTCCGAGCCCCCCGAGCCCGGTTCGGCGGCTCGCCCCTCCGAGCCCTCCGGGCACTCCATCCCTTGTGAGCCCTCCCGAGCCCTCACGAGCCCACCAGCGCCACCCTCGTGCCTCTCTGCCCTCTGAGCCCTCCGACCCCTCCGAGCTCTCCACCCCTCCCAAGCCCTCACGAGCCCTCCTACGCCTCGCTTTTGGCCAGCCCTCCCAGCCCCCACCCCTCCTGGGCCCTGCCGCCTGACACCTCTACCGGTGGAGGGCTTTAGATCACGGTCCACACTCCCGCCCTCCCGACCCCTCCACACCCCTACAGCGGCACCCCTACCCCTCCCGCCGTTTTAGGGCCTCCTGACAACCCGCACTCACGCGGTATGGGTGGACGCGGGACAGATGATGACGACACGCACGAGCAACACACAGACACAAACAAGCTCACAAGACACACAGCCAGCGTGGCTGCCACACACCCTGAGTCCCTGACACAAAATCTCAAAAACAAACTCACTCTGAGTTGGCGTACACACAACTCAAGGCAGCGCCCCCCCTGTCGCCGCCCCCCCCAGCACTCCAAGGTGCTAAAGGAACAAACAAGGGCACAAACAACACAACAGACGACAGGGGCGAACGCGTGAGGCTAGAGCAGGCTTGCTCGTCCTCAAGCTTTTGCAGCCCGCGATTTCTCGTTCGCGATGGTGGAGCTGGAGCGGCCTTCGCGGCAGCGGCTCCACCTCCGCCGCGGGCGACGGCGGCGGCCGCGAGCCGCTTCCGCCCTCCTGGCAGCCATGCCGGCGCCCAGGCTGGCCGGCCTGGCCTCCGCTCCACCACTTCGACCGACATGCTCCACCACGCCGCCCTGCTCCAGCTCCGGCGCTCCAGCTCCGCCTCCACCTACCTGAGGCAAGGACTAACGACCTGACGCCCTCTTCTGCTCCCGCGCCAAGCACTCGCCGATGAGCGGTGCGCCGCGCCGCGCGCCCTGGCCCAGCCTCGCCGCGCGCCCTCCCCGCCCTCCCACCCCTCCCTCCCTTCCTCCCTCCGCCGGGCGCCGCCGCCGCGCTCTGCGCGCACACACAGAGTCACCCTCCCGTGCCTGGACGCGGAGCCTGCCTGGCCCGCGCGGAGGCGACTGTGGGGGCGGGCGAGCTCGCTCCGATTCTCCCTCCCTCCTCCTTGCCTTCTCCAGCCCCCTTGCCTTCACCAACCCACGCCGCCGGCTCAGGAATGTTCAACGCTAAAGATCTCTCCAACGTTAACGTCACGCCGGGCCCCCACGTCGTCCCGGCTCCTGCCGTCGCAGGCGCAGCCGCGCCGTCCTTCCCCACGCCGCCGCGGCTCGTCCCCCCGCGCCCCACGCAAGCCAACGCCATTCCGGCTCGAACCGCACAGGCACGATGCAGGGCATCTTTCAGAGCCCCAACGGCAACATGAACCTCAACATCACCGGGACTTTCTACGTCACCGAGCCGCCCGAGGAGACAAAGCAGGACGGGCTGGCCGAGACGCCAAACAACAACAACCCCGCGCCGCCGCACGTGCCTGGACGCGAGAATTTCGGCAAGGGCGGCGCGAAGCGCCACCGCAAGGTGCTGCGCGACAACATCCAGGGCATCACTAAGCCCGCCATCCGCCGCCTCGCGCGCCGCGGCGGCGTCAAGCGCATGTCCGGCCTCATTTACGAGGAGACGCGCGGCGTCCTCAAGGTGTTCCTCGAGAACGTGATCCGCGACGCGATCACCTACACCGAGCACGCGCGCCGCAAGACGGTCACCGCGATGGACGTCGTCTACGCGCTCAAGCGCCAGGGCCGCACCCTGTATGGCTTTGGCACGTAATCCTGCTTCGTTGCTCCTCACTGTCTCCGCCTCACAAGCGTGTTTTCGGGCGAGCTGTGTGTGAGCGGGCTCTGCGGGCTGGCGCCGCGGTGCCGCGGGGCGTGCCGGCAGGTGGAGGTGCAGCCCCCCGGGGGTGCGCCGCGCGCGCGGTGCCGGTGGCGGAGGAAAAAGGATGTATCGGATAAACGCGGCGCGTGAGGGACAAATGGAGGGACAAACACGTATGTAGGCAATTAACAGGGTCGGCCCCCCACACAAAAGCATACGGGTCACGACATACTAGAGGCGCGAGGGACTTTCGACTTAGTGCTTCTGCCGCTTGAGGACACGTGCCGCCGTCGCGCCCTCCTTGCCGTCCTCCTCGTCCTCCACCTCCTCGTCCTGATAGAGGTCGTCGACTGGCTCAAGTTGGGCTATGACTTGCTCCCAGACGGTCGGCTCAGAGGGCCGGCTCGTCAGAGGGCTGGCTCCGGTAAACGCGGGGGCGGACGGCCTTAGGTCCTCCGCCTGCTGGATCAGCTGCGACTCAAAGGCGATCTTGGCCAAGTCCCGAAGGGACGGGACGGGGAGCGGCAGCGTGATCGGAGGCGGGGCAGCGCCGAAGTGCTGCTCGGTGAGGCCCTCCGCCAGCGCCCAGTAGCTCGGCGTGGTGGCCAGCCCTGGCGTGTAGCTGGCGATGGCGACGAGCTGCCCGAGGTGGTTGAAGAGGGGCTTGCCGCTGTCGCCGAAGGTGAGGGCCAGCTCATCCGACTTGACGAGGCCGCGGGCGGCGTAGACGCGCCCTGCGGACTCGTGGTAGCGCAGGCAAATGTCCGTATAGCCCTCGGTGAAGGCGACGCCGGTCTGTCGAGAGCAGACCGATTCCTCAGCAGGGAGGCGGGAGGAGGGCGCAGCGGCATGAGGGGTGAGGCTCACCAGCGTGGAGGCGCGAGCGAGGGCGCAATACGCGAAGGCGGGGAAGAGGTCGGCCGAGACAATGCGAAGGATCGCGAGGTCAGGGCGACAGCGCAGCCGGTCGGGTGGCGTGATCAGCTCTGCCTCGTACATCATGACGCCGGGCCGGTCGGCGACGCGGAAGATCACGTGGAGCGCCTTGGACTGGGCGTCAATGATCGCGTGGGCGACCGTGAGCATGAGGCCGTCGTCGGAGATGATGTTGCCGTGCCACGTCCCCAGGACCTCGCCGGTCTCGTAGTCGATGGCATAGATGAGCTTGGTGGAGGACATCGCGACTGCGAGGGGGAGGGCGAGGAAGGGATGGGTCGTGAGACAGACGGTGGGTGGGGTGAGGAAGGGATGGGTCGCTGCGATGAGACACAGCTGCGGAGCTCCGGCGAGAGCGCGACGAGGCGAGGGCACGGCGCACCGAGGTACGCTGGCAGAGGCTGAATGGAACAAGCAGAAATGGAGCTGGAGCGCCGGAGCTGGAGCAGGGCGGCGTGGTGGAGCAGGTCGGTCGGAGTGGTGGAGCGGCGGCCAGGCCGGCCAGTCTGGGTGCCGGCATGGCTGCGGGGAGGGCGGGGGCGGCTCGCGGCCGCCGCCGTCGCCCGCGGCGGAGGTGGAGCGACTGCCGCGAAGGCCGCTCCAGCTCCACCATCGCGAAAAAAATATTCTCGTTTGTTGTTCGGAGCGGCCGCGCACTTGGAGCACTTGGAGTCCCTTTTGTTTTGTTTTACTTAACACAAAATGAAAGAGAGCCAAACCTTGTACCCGCCGAATCCACATAGCACATTCCGCCGCGCGCGCGGCACATGACATCGCGGCAACGTGCCAAGTCTCGCGCAAACCCGCTTCGGCCCCCCCCTCCCCCCCCTCCCCCCACCCCCCCATCGAGTGTGTCGGCATCCGCAAACTACTCCATGCCGAAGCCATGCGGGGCGCCGCCCGGCCCGTTCGCCATGGATCACGCACCCGTGCGGACCGCCGCCGGGCTCGTCCCGACGCCCAGCGCGCAGCCGGCCGCGATCAGGAAGGGGCCAAAGATGCTCGGCGAGACGGTGCTGAGGTACTGCTCCTCGGCTTGCTCGAGGAGGCCGTTGGAGTAGGCGTCGAGCTGCACCGAGGCGCGCGGCTCGAGCACCATCTCCTGCTGCCAGTCTTGGATGTACGGCCGCCCGCCGAGGGGAGAGTTCATCGCCTCGAAGAGCGCGTTCGCGTCGGCAACGGCGAGCATCCCGTTCGTCTGCAGCGGCTGCGGCTGGCGGTGCGGCTCGAAGAAGAGCGGGAAGAGGAGGTGCAGCACCAAGCGCACCTGGCGCAGCAGCCCCTCGAAGGTCTTGTTTTGCCCGCGCTCAAAGTCAGGGTGGCCGTTGACGAGCGGCCCGTCGATCAGCTCCGCCCATTGCGCCTGCTCTGCCGGCTCGAGGACGCCGAGCGCGGCGAAGATGAGCGGGCAGTAGAAGAACGAGAAGTGCACGTGCGCCACCTGGTGGAGCGGCGGCAGCACCGCCATCACGCGCGCGTCGTCGCGGCGCACCGGCCACCCGCGCACAACCGACTGCACCACCGGCGACTGCGGCTGCGGCTGCGGAGTGGGCGCCTCGAGGCGCCGGGGGCGCTGGATGTTCTCCTGGCAGACCGGGCAAGCCCGCCAGTTCCGCGCAACCATCATCGGCGCGCATCCGCCGCAGATGACGTGGGGCGCCGAGCCCGCCGGGTTGGGCTCGTGCAGCCGGAACCACTGCGCCGCCGCTTCGCCGTCGGTGGAGCCCTCGTCGGCAGCACCCTCGACATCGCGGCGGCAGACGACGCACTGGTCGCCCACGTGCGGCGCCGGCTCGACGACGAAGTGGTCGTGCGGGTCGACCGCCGCGGTGGTGGGGCGGCGCGCATTCGGTGACGGCGGCGCGCTCGGCAGCTGGACGCCCTCGATGAGCCAGTACTCGTATGGCCGCCGTCCGCCGCCGCGCCCGGTGCTGTGGGCAGCGAGGCGGTGGCGGCGGACGAGGTAGGGCGTCTGCGCGTTGACCGAGAGCCCGATGAGTTGGTAGCCCAGCCCGCCTGCCCGGAAAAGGGAAGCAAAGCCGCGCTGCGCGCGCAGCTCGGGGTGCTCCCGGCTGAGCGTCGCACGGATCTCGCCCTCAGTCAGCGGGTGGCGCTGGTGAGGGTACTCGTGCGCGGGCGCGTCGCGCGTGCCCGAGATGGCGAGGCGGCTCAGCTCGTTGATGATGAGCAAGCCGAGCCGGTCGGGGCCGGTCCGCTGCTGCGTCGCGCGGCGGTGCGAGACAAAGGCCTGGCGGAAGTGGTGCGGGATGCGGTGGTTGAGGATGTCGCTCAGGATGCACATCGCCTCGCCGAGGTCGCGCTCCATCCGGCCGGCGCCGGCGCCGGCGAGCGGTTGGCGGATGAGCGAGAAGAGCGGCCGGAAGAGCGAGGCGTTCGACTCCGGGTCGTGCGGCAGCTGCAGCTCCTGCGAGATGACAATGGCGACGAGGAGCGCGTGCGGGTCGAGGTTTCCCGCCTCGAACTCCTCGAAGGCATTGAGCATCTGCCTCTCTTGCTCCTCGTTGAGCTGCAGCGCCTGCACCAGCGGGCTCGCGAGCGACATGTCGTTCGCCTCCGCCGAGGAGATGCGCTCCTCGATGGTGAGCAGCAGCTGCTGCCGAGCCGGCTGCGGCGCGCGGTCGGTGTCGAACTGCTGCCACTCGGTGAAGGCCACCATCGCGCGCACGATGTTCCACACGAGCTCGCTCGCGAGCATCTCGATCTGCCGGATGCCGTGGCGCTGGTGGAACGCGGTGAGCGTCGTCGACGGCCGGAGAAACTGCTGCGCGAGGTCGGCGCCGTTGCCGCCCGAGTGGACGAGCATGTGCGTGACGGCGAGCAGCGGCACGAGCTCCGCCGCCTGCAGCAAGTCGACGGCGACGATGGAGAGGCAGCGGCGCACCATCCCGTGGCCGATGACGACGACGGGAAGCTCGGGAAAGACGTGGCGCAGCATGAAGAGCAGCAGGTTGAGCTGCGCTGTCGACAGGCGCAAGTTGGGCGGGATCTCGGGCTCGCGCCCCGTCTCGCGGTGCGCGCGGCCCTCGAGATGCTGCAGCAGCGGCAGGAACGCCTCGACCGAGTGGTAGCCGCCGCCATCGCACGAGCGGCGTGCCTCGCGCACGTACATCGGGTAGTCGAAGATGTCATCGGCCGCCTGCCGCAGCTGCTCCGCAAGCTCTTCGTCGGGCTCGTTGGAGGCGCACACGCGCATGTACACCTGCAGCCGCTCGAGGTGCGGCGACGGCTCGCCCCGCAGCCGCCGGCCCGTGGTGAAGCGCAGCCCGAGGTTGCCGTCGAAGGTGCGGTTGCCACCGTGCACGAAGACGGCGACGAGGCCGGTCGGCATCGAGGCGTCGGCCCCGCCCGGACGCGCCATGATCTTGCGCAGCGTCGCCTCAAAGTGCGTCTGCATGTTGTGGTTGACTGACATGCTCACGCGCGTCGCCGTGCAGTCGAGCAGGCAGTGGTGCGGCTGCGAGCACGCGGCGATGTACATCTCGACGACCTGCTCATTGACGTACTCCTCGGCGGGGTGCAGCTGCGCGAGCAGCTGGCCGCCGAAGCGCGCGAAGCGGCTGAAGCCGAAGAACTCGCCCGCATCGCGCGGCCGGCGGAACGAGACGACGTCGAGCATGCGGAAGAGCAAGTTGCCGGCCTCGTTGAGCAAGCCGATGCGGAGCAGCATCCAGAAGAAGCACAGCGCGTTGGTGCCCGAGATGTGGCAGACCAGCGGCGGAGCGAGCTGCTCCGGCCAGCCTTGCTGCCACGCGGGGGCGCGGAGGTGCTGCTCCCAGCCGAGGAGGTCGTTGATCGCGCGCTCGTACTGGTAGGCGGTGCGCCCGTTCTCGCGCTCGATGGCGGCGGAGTTGCACGAGCCGAGCATGCGGTCCGACTCGTCGAGGACCATCACCGGCCATGTCTCGGGCGTGCCGAGCGACCGCATCAGGTGCATCTCGGAGCGGAGCAGCTTGGCGACGCGCTGGATCTGGTTGATGGTGCGGAACATCACGACGAGCCCGCCCTGCTGGATGGCCTCGCGGCACGCGTCCTCGGTCGCCGGCGTGAGCAGCTCGCACCGGATGCCGCTGAGCCACTCCTCGTCGATCTCGTTCTCCTCCTCCGCCTCGACCGCGCCCTCGGCAACCCACAGCGAGCGCACCATGTTGCCCTGCAGCGCGCGCGCCCACGCCTGCATCTGCGTCCCGAGGATGGT